GACCTCTGGAGATCATCTAGTCCAACCCCCTGCCAAAGCAGGTCCACCCGGAGCAGGTCCCACAAGAACGTGTCTAGGTTGGTTTGAATGTCTCCAGAGAAGGAGACTCCACCACCAATCTGGGCAGCCTCTTCCAGGGCTTTGCCACCCTCACAGGAAAGAAGTTCCTCCTCACATTTAGATGGAACTTCCTATGTTCAAATTTCCGCCCATTACCTCTTTCACTTGCTGCCCCCAGGGAAAATAAATGTTGGGTCAGATGCTGCTTCCAGACTGTACTCCTTCACAGTGAGCCCTGTGGCAGAGAACGACAGGCTCGGTTCCTTGAGCAGAATTGTTTTGACAATTTTTCTCACTTCAGTGTTTGGCTGTGTATAAAAGCCGTTTGTCAAAGGGGCTGGGTTTGTCTTTGTTGGGAGGCAGCGACCAGATGGGCAGGAGCCCGACTGTTTCCAAGTTGGAGGAAGGCAGGTGGGACAAGACTGGGCAGAGCAGTGATGGGCCAGAGGCAGAAGGGGTCACTGAATAAGTATTAAAAAGTCCTGTAAAGGTAAAAGCGTGTTCTAGAAACGGCTTGTTGCAAGTGCCCAGCAGTAGTGTATGTAGTTTAAAATACCTGTCTTTAAATGCCACTTTGTTCTTCGTGTTTGTTACCTTCAGGACCTTTGCACAAATCTCATCTGTGTTTGTGCATCACTCTTCTGTGAGACATAGGAGCAAACAATATTTTTACGGGAGCTCGGAGCAACTGCTGTCTGAGCAGAATCCTTCCCCCAAAGGCAGGGGAGGCTGCGGACGGAGCCAGGGTCCAGAAAGGTAAATAAAGACAAGAGGTCTGGTACAGGACCACCTGATGAAGGGGTGTCTTCCCTAAAGCAAATGGCTTATCCAGCTGCGTGGCAATGAAAGCTTTGGGAATTGTCTCCTGTGCTGCCTGCCCTGTCCTTGTTTAGAGAAGGGATGGGATGGCAGGGTGATTCCTGCCACGGGTGTGAGCGAGCGCTGGGGTCTCTTCCAGCTCAAGCAAGAGGCACCTGGAGAGCTGTGGTCAAAGAACTGACAACTGCAAACACAAAGAACAAGTTATGAAGTTATTTTTTTCTGTTCAGAAAGGGAGAACAGAAGATGGAGTAACAATAGGAAAAAAAAAAAAAAGCCCAGAAGTAACATGATAAAAAACAAAGGAGAATTTTCATTCTTATCTTTAATTATATATTTTTTTAAGTATAGGTGAAGCTAAGAAGAGGGGAAGGATAGTTAACACAGGCAAAACCTTGAAGCTATCTGGAAACCAGTAAATGACATGAGAATGGGGGAAAAAAAAACAGGACAGGAAGAGAAACAGGTACCATCCCAAGTGATTTTTATGAACCGCGGTATGTCCAACCTTACTCCATTTCCTCAGCTCCTCCCGACCCTGCAGAACCTCTTCTACATAAAAGATGAAGAGGAGGCTATAGGATCCTTGGTGTTTTCCAAACTGTGCATGTAATAGTCTTGACACTGGGTGCCTTAACAGCTGCGAGCCGTGGCTACTCTGTTCTTTGGCTGGCTACCTGCCTCGAGCCCTGTCCTTGTAGCTTTTCTCGTTCTAGCCCCAGGCAGCAAAGGCAGCCCCAGGTCTGGAGATGCTCTGTGGGTGCGAGCCTGCGCCCGCCGGGCAGAGGAGGAGTAAGAAAGGGCTTTCGGCCGGGAAAAAGAGCAAAATGACATCATTGGGAAAAGCAACCAGCTGGATGGGTCCACAGGGAGCAAGAACTAAGGAAGAGGCAGCTTGAAAAAGCGTTACTTCAAAGATACTGGACTTTAGGTAGAAGGTAAGGGGCTTGAGTTCGAAAAAAGCAGGAACAGAAGTTAAATACTGCCTCCTCTTCATAATTAAATGTTTATTTTAAATGCTTGGGAAAGGGAAGCTGGTGGTGGAGAGAAAAGGTATTGCTGTCATTTCACAGGAAGGCACAATGGGTGTTGCCATTATTTTCCCCAATTCTGCATTTTTCCTAAAGCCACAGCAATTATTCTAAGCTGCCACCAGGCAAGGCCAACTTGGCGTAGAGAAAAAAAGCTGGAGGTACAAAACGAGATCTATAAAAACCCCTTCCAGGTCTGCTCATCCCATCGAGCTGCTTTGCAGCCCCCCAGGATTCCACTGACACATCTTCCCCCCACCCCCCCCTTTGCTCCCTGCTAAAATTCCCCGTGTCCCCAATTTCCCAGGGGTTCCCAAGGAGAAGGGGATGCAGCAGGGATGGCTTCAAAGCTGCCGGGGGGGTGTGAAGTTGCTGCCCCCTCCCCAGGGACCGTGCCCGCAGGAAGGCAATGGGTCCCACCTCCCCCCATGAGCTCCTGGGGGGGCAATGCATCCCTCAGCCCCTGCAGCATCTCCCCTCCACCTGGGGAGGGGGATGGAGAGAAAAGGTATTGCTGTCATTTCACAGGAAGGCACAATGGGTGTTGCCATTATTTTCCCCAATTCTGCATTTTTCCTAAAGCCACAGCAATTATTCTAAGCTGCCACCAGGCAAGGCCAACTTGGCGTAGAGAAAAAAAGCTGGAGGTACAAAACGAGATCTATAAAAACCCCTTCCAGGTCTGCTCATCCCATCGAGCTGCTTTGCAGCCCCCCAGGATTCCACTGACACGTCTCCCCCCCACCCCCCCCTTTGCTCCCTGCTAAAATTCCCCGCGTCCCCAATTTCCCAGGGGTTCCCAAGGAGAAGGGGATGGGGCAGGGATGGCTTCAAAGCTGCTGGGGGGGTGTGAAGTTGCTGCCCCCTCCCCAGGGACCGTGCCCGCAGGAAGGCAATGGGTCCCACCTCCCCCCATGAGCTCCTGGGGGGGCAATGCATCCCTCAGCCCCTGCAGCATCTCCCCTCCACCTGGGGAGGGGGAAGGGGCCCTTCCCCGTTCCATCCACCCCAGGAAACGCAGGGCTGGAGCCTCGGGGAGCAGCCCCAGGGTGGGGAGGGTCTGGGGGGGTCCCACAGCCCAGAGGGATTGGGGGCAGCCCAAGGCACAGTGCGGAGCCGGTCGCAGAGGGAAACCCTCCAGGAGTTCAAACTTGTTGAAAATACTTTATTGCAACATCATACGGTCCTCTGATTCTCCCAGCAGCAGGACTCTGGCCTGGGAACACCAAACCACTTTACTCTTAAATTAAAACTCACTTACATATAAAAAAATAAATTCTTTCTGTGCCCCCCCGCCTCCCGGCAGCAGGAGGCAGGGGCTGGTGGCTCTTCCTGACAAATCCAATGGTGGAAAACCCACCAGCCCCATCTTTTTCCACCTGATAAGGCTTTTGTTTCCAGCGGCATCCAAAAAAAGGGTGATTTCTGCCTCCTTTTGCATACACCCCCCCGGGAGGACAACAGCCACAGATCCACCTCCTGGAGGTCACCCAGCAGCAAAGTCTGCCTCTGCCCTCTCTCTTTACCCTACTCTTCAATGGCTTTTCTCTCTTACAAAAGCAGCATTATTTTTGTTTGTTTTTAAACACCCTTTTATAAAAACTAACAGACAGGATCAACAACAACACCACCACAAAAAATGCAAGAATGGCTTTTCAACTCGAGTGCTCAGCAAGTTTTTCTACCCGGGGAGGAGACAGCTCGGACCCCCCGGGGATATTTCTGCAACGCAGCTCCCTCCGGACCGCGATCCCAGATCCCTGCCTCGGAGGAGGAGTGACGATGCATTTCACACTAGAGCAGCACATTCAAATGCTTTTTTTGTTTGTTTGGGTTTTGTTTCTTTTCTTAAGACATCAGACTAGATTTTAAGCTACCTAAAAAAAAACCAACCAGCTTCCAAGTGAGAGTCTCCTGTTGCCCAGGGAGCCAGGGAAGGGGACGAAGGGTGAAGGCACTCTTTGGGAAGGAGAGGAGACCAGCGTCCACGGGATATTTCTGCAACGCAGCTCCCTCCAGGATCCCCAGATCCCTGCCTCGGAGGAGGAGTGACGATGCATTTCACACTAGAGCAGCACATTCAAATGCTTTTTTTGTTTGTTTGGGTTTTGTTTCTTTTCTTAAGACATCAGACTAGATTTTAAGCTACCTAAAAAAAAACCAACCAGCTTCCAAGTGAGAGTCTCCTGTTGCCCAGGGAGCCAGGGAAGGGGACGAAGGGTGAAGGCACTCTTTGGGAAGGAGAGGAGACCAGCGTCCAGGCCCCACACCGAGGAACTGCAAAGTCTTCCTCCCTCCCCGTTTCCCAGCAATTAACCATAATTAAGCAGCCTCAGCGGGGCAGCGGAAAGCCCACGGGGATGGAGCCCAAACCTCACCCAGGAGGCTTCTCCCCGAAGCGACGGCTTCTCTCCTGCCATCCACACAGACGGGGAGCACGTCCCGCACACAAGCCGTAAACCCAAAAATCCCAAATCTAACAGCAACAAGAAACAAGCCCCACGTTTCCCCCCCTTCCCAGCAGAAGCAGCCGCCCCCCCCCCCCCCTCCCCAAGGAGCCACAGCCACCTGGCATGAAGCAATTGGGAGCGAGGGGCCAAAAAAGCACCTGCTCCCTCCTCCCGGTTCTCTCTCCTGAGCCACACAGGCCTGGGGAGGGAGTTTGGGGGGATTATAAGGGTTTTGGTCACACAGGGGAGGGTCAGAGGCTCGTTATCCATGATTGGTGGCCCTCGTGGGGCTGGAAGTCACCCCAGAAAACGCTCCCCCTGAGGGGAGGGCAATCAGCGGCCAACCCTGTGACACCAACTGAGGAACGTTTGGACAGCTTCATTTTGGGTCCCGCTCTCCCTCCCCCAGCCATTCTCCTGCCCTGCCACCACCAGAACGGTGGCTGCACCCCGGCTGCCTGCTCCCAGCCCGCGGCCTGCTCCGCGCTCCCAGCGAGCGGAACAAACCCTGGGATGGAGAGGAGGGGGGGGGGCTGAAGGGGGGAGGAGGAGGAGGAGGAGGAGGGGGATGCAGCGCCGTTCCCGGTGTCCAGGGCCGTGTCCTGCCGCGGCAGGGGGGCTCTCGGGAAGGGGAGGCCGGTCACAGGTCGATGTCCGTGACGTCCGTGGGGGTGCCGGTGGGCTGGCCGGCCGGGTGAGCAGCAGTCTTGGCGGTGCTGTGCTCCTGTCGGCCTTGGGACGCCTGTTTCAGGCTCTGGGCTAAAGCTGCCTCCATCTGCTCCTGACAGGCCTTCAGGCGGTCCTGCGGGAGAGGGAGCGAGACAAGAGGCCTCAGTTCTCTGCCACTTGGAGGTGGGAGCCTCGGAAATAGCTCTGAGCCGACTGCAGCCACGGCACCCACCAAAGGTGCTGTGTTCAGAGATGCTCACTCATCTCTAGGCACCCTCAAACCAAGGTCGGCGTCGTTACCAATGACCTAATTTGCTCCCCCTTGAAGAAGAAGAATGAGGAGCAGAAAGGGGAAGGGTTTCCACCAGATCCAGCAGCAAAACTGCTTCTGCTGGTCCCCCGGGGAACACTCACCACCTCCGTGCCAGTGATGCTGGCCAGCAGCCCGGTGACGGCCTCGCCGGTGAAATTGTTCACAGAGACTGCCAGGCTGTGGATCGCCGCCCCAAGGCTGCCCGTCGCGATCACGGAGGGGCGATACATGGCAAAAGTGTAGTCTGGACAGGGGGCAAAAAGAAGCTGTGAGCAAGGATGCACAAGGGAAATTCTTGGGACTGTGACTTCCCTGGAAAACTAGAGAGGGCCAGGCAGAGGGGTCTCTCCAGCTCAGCAGGGAGAAATGGGGGCGAAGGAACGAGACACAAGCTGAGCGTCAGAGCAGCAGGTTCACTCAGCTGCTTCTCTGGGTCTGTCTCGTCACGAGAAGTCCTGAGGATGAGGTGGCTCCAGGGACTTAGCGGGAGGCTGACAAAAGCTCAGATTCAACCCTGCCTTTCGCCCGGGCGTCCTCCCGCAGTCACAGCCTGTGCAGCCAGAGGGGTGGCTCGATGGCTTTGCTCTCTCCTGGCATCTTCCAGGCACCCACTAAAAGCCCCCAGGACCGTTATCCCACTTGGTCAGGGAGAGAAAAACATGTCATCAAGTGCCAAAACGCTCCAAATTGAGTGAAGGCAGGAGTTCAGCTCCCCAGAAAACCAGGGCCTTGTAGTGACAGGACAAAGGGTAACGGTTTTAAATTGGAAGAGGGGAGATTTAGATTAGATATCAGGAAGAAAGTCTTTGCTGTGAGGGTGGTGAGACACTGGAACAGGTTGCCCAGAGAAGCTGTGGCTGCCCCATCCCTGGAGGGGTTCAAGGCCAGGTTGGAGGGGGCTTGGAGCAACCTGGTCTGGTGGGAGGTGTCCCTGCCCAGGGCAGGGGGTTGGAACTCGATGATCTCTAAGGTCCCTTCCAACTCTGACCATTCTGTGAGACCAGCCCCAGGTTACCCAGAAGCCTGACTCCAGACCCTCCCCAGCGTCCCCGCGGTGGCTCCAGCAGGAGCAGGCACCCACCTGTGGCACACAGGGCGATAAAGGTCTGTGCGTGTTTCTTCACCAGCTCCACCTTGTCCTGGGGCAGCGGGAGGTGATGGAGGATGGGAGCCAAGAAATCATTTGCTATCACTGAGACCAGGTCCCACTTCAGCGTCCCCAGGACTCGAAGTTCCCAATCCTGCAGAGTCAGACAGCCAGCCAGCCAGCATGTTATTCAGCGGGGCTAAAGCCAGGCAGAAACAGTCACCAGATTCCAGGGCAGAGAAGGCCAGCGCTTGGGGAAGGGGCAGGAGGACAGCACGAGCCACGAGACAGGGAAGAAAAGAGGGAACATCTCTGGCTCGATGACTGGCACAAATCCAGCCTTGAGTTGTTGCAAAGCTGGGAATAAAGATCAGGGGAAGCGATAAATTTGGTTTCTTCCTTGCAAAGTGCAGCTGGATTCACCTCAACGCTCCTCTGCTTTGCAAGGCTGCTGCGACAGCCCACAGAGGGAAAGCCAGAGCAAGGAGCAGCAAGGACACCATTCCCACATTCCTTCTCCTCTCCCAAAAGGAGAGGCTGACGTCCAGGCTCCCAGGAACAATCCAACTCGGGGCTAACACCATTACAGCAAAGGGAACAGAGAAGCTCAGCTCTCTGTGCCTCTCTGAGCCGGCCGCTGTGCTGACTCCTTCCTACAGTGGCTCTTGGGCCAGTGAAGCACAGGAGGCAGTAGCCGCCCTGCAGCCAGCCCTTCTGCACAACACCTTGAAGCAAGGGAAGGCAGAGGAAACACAGCTGACCTTCTGGGGCTGCATCCAGACAAGCCCAAGCTCCTGTACGAGATCTTCAATCCCTGTGGAGCCCAGGGGCTGTGATTAGGAGCTGAGGTCTCCAGCCCAACAAACGCTGGGCACGCGGCCCCACCGAGGTGGTCCCAAGCTGGGCACTAGCACTTTGGCAGAACCTCCCCCACTCATCACACCTCTTCTCTGCCAAGAGAGCCTCCACCATGCTCAGCAGAGCATCCCCAGCAGCTTTTCAGGGGGAAGAGGCACCGAACAGCCGTTCTGACACCCACCTCTCCCACCCACACACACACAACGGCTCACTGGCGCTTCCCAGCTACGTACCAGGGACTGCCAATGTCTCCAGCCCACGTTGGTCTCCACCAACAGACATCACACCCAGCGGGGCAAGGAGGTGAGAAGGTTGGTTGGGGAATGCAGAGGAAGGTGAAGAAAGGGGAGGAAGAGAACAGGAGGAGACACACAGGCAGGTACGCTGCCAAGTAGCAGGATGCAGGAGATAAGAGAGCCGGGGAGGGGACGGAGGGCTCTGTGAGATAGGGGTGGTTACCAGGAGCTGCTGAGGCGTGATGGAGTTCTCCGTGTAAATGCAGAGTTTCTCCACGGTCAGGGGCACGGTGTCTCGCAGCTTGGAAGCCAGGAGCATGCAGACCGCCCCCAGAAGCTGCAGGTCGTTCTTCTGCACCGGGACTGAGGACAGGTAACGATCCACGTAATTCATGGCCAAGGGGAAGACCTCTTCTTCGCACTTCTGCTCCTCGCACACCTGACAAAACCCAATCACAAAAAGAAAAAAAAACAAAAGGGAGTTTTAATCAGCACAGGACTGCCCCGATCCTGCCTGCAGCACAGCTTCAAAGCTTCTGGTCACGATGGGCTTTTCACACTTCTCTTCAGGGCTTTGAAGGCAACTCCGTGCTAAGGAGTAAATTAGCTACAGGTGTTAAGCCTATGACTTCAGTGGGAGTACACCAGTCTGACCAATGCCTTAGGACTTCACCTCTCTGTGGAACCCTGCAGAACTTATATGTAGCTACAAAAAGTGCACAAATAAGTTAAGACCAAAATGGCATTATTTGTCTCCTATTTCATGTCCCCTGTTGGGGATGTCCCCAGCCTACTGTAGCCAACTACAGCAAAGTTTCTATGTTCTGCTCTGTGGGGACTGGGGACCTCTGGAGAAAAGGAGCAATTCCAGTGTATCTCCAGCTGGAGATCTAATGGAGCGGGATCCACTGCCGCTTCTGGCAATGCCACCCCAAGTGGTCCAGAGACAGGAGAAGAATCAATGGCAGAGCCCAAATCGATGGTTAAGTCCTGAAGTCCTCCCTCAGCCACGAACAGAACCCAGAAGTGCTGAATTCCAGTCCTCTGCTCTTCTCTCTCAACCAGTCTCACAGCACTGGTCATGCTGAGCTTCCTTCTTTCAATGGAACCATTAAAATATTGAGGTTTCTCCTTCCGTTCTCCCTCCAGCAGCGAGTGCCTCCCCCCTGCCCAGACGGCCACACGCCGGGGACACCAGCACGCACCGTGGTGACAACTGCCAAGTGTCACCCACTTCTTGACCAACCTTTCAGGCTGCAGAGCAACAGGCTCCAAAGCAGCTTTTCTCTAACTACCCTTCTCAGAAAGGGAATTGCAGAAACAGAACAATAATAGCAGAGAGAGGGGATAAAAAGAAAAAAAAAGCCCTTTAAAAAGCAATATGTTCATTCTTTCTTCTGACAGAAGCAGGCAGCTTCTTGCAACAGCAGCCGGGGTGGAGAGCAGGCAGGCTCCATCCCAAAGGCATTTGTCCTTTGCAGAATCTGTCTCGATTGAGACCGGTCACTCTGACCGTCTCACGAAGAGGCCCATGAGATTTCCCCCGACTGAGCCGCGTCCCGCAGAGAGCCGCATTCAGTTTTAATTTAGGGAAGGAAAGTGATATTATTCCTCCCCCCGGCTTTAACCAGGCATTTCCAGCCCCATTCAGACAACGCAGGTCTCCAGCCTGCCGGGTGCACAGCTGAGCTCCCTCTGCCCACAAGTTTTGGGGAGCAGAGGGTCTGACAGCAGTGTGGCAGCACACCCCGAGGGTGGGATGAAGGGGCTCGGGGGGCAAGAAAAGGGGGGTCAGCTCCTCCCGCACGGGATAATCCCATCTCCTGGCACAGCCAGCGCTCACAGAGACACTGCCCCGCTGCAAACTGCCTTTCCCGCCCCGCTCCGGACCCTCCATGTGCCTCCCCCGCGGTGTAACACCCCCCACCCCCCTCCCTCATCCCGGAGACCCGACCCCTGGGACCTCAGGGCTCTGCTGTCCCCTGCCCTGTCCCTTCCACCCCCGCTCCAGGCGACACCCCAGCGAGCAGGGGGCAGGTGCTTTTGCCCCTGTGCTCCCCCCCCCCGCCTCCCGCCTCCTGCTGCAGCAGGAGCTCGCACGCCTGCGAGCCGGGAGGGCGAGCGAGGAGCAGCGGCGGTGGCCGGGGCAGGGAGCCGGAGCTGCGGCGGGGGAGGAGGCGGCAGCAGAGACCCCCCCTCCGTACCTCCAGCATCCAGAAGGCCAGCACCTTCCGCATGTAGGGCTTGATCTCCCGCTGCACGCGGTGGAAGTAGCAGACGCGAGGGCTGTACCGCTCCTCCTGGCTCAGCAGGTTCTGCAGCCCCCGCCGGTCCCCCAGGAGCTGCGGGTCGCGCCCGGCGCGGAGGAGCCGGGGGGCGGCCTCCAGGCACAGCAGCTCCATGAGCGCGGGGACGGGAGCGCGGGAAGGCGGGAGCGCGGCGGGCGGCGACACTCCCTGACGCGCGTGCGCGGCGGCGGCTCTGTGGTGCGCGTCTGCCCCGGCGGGACCGCGTGCGACTCGGGAGGGGCCGAAAACACGGCGGCGTCTCCCCGGATGTCCCGGGGGGTCCCAGGAGCCCGGGGGGGTTCCTAAGGGGGGGAAGGCG